CTAATAACTTTTAAATACATTCAGCATTTAAATTTCCAACGGTAAGTCTGTTCTGTTTGCACACAGTTTCACAAGCAGTTCTGATGAGATCAACTCCAAATTTTTATAGCAACATCAGCTCTAATCTAGTGAAATCAGCATACATAAAAGGAGAGTATCAATTTAATCAGCAAAGGCATGAAAATATTTATAATATTAGAATATAATATATAAATATTTTTATAATATTAATAATTTCTCACAATATTTAATATATTATAAGGTAAGATTATTTTCAAATCTAACAGCTGGTTTATTATGACATGGCTGAATTGTTTTATGCTCATACTATCACCTTATATAATATTAGTGTTTAGAAATCCAAAAAAGACTGAAAACATGAAGGTGTCGATGTTATCAACATTGCAATTCCCTCTCTTATTCTGTCTTTGATAACATCAGTGTTTTATGTCTAATGTAATTTTCCAGAGGTTTCTATGAAGAATTTTGAAATTTCAAAGCAATGGTTCAGTTTGGGAAAGAAAACATTGGAAATTAGTCTTTCTTGAGAAATACTGATTTTGAGTTTTGACAAACTCACTTTTTTTTTAGCTCAGGGATCAGTTAATCTGTTTTTCTCAGAAGAAGACTCAACAAAACTGCAATAACATGGTCTATACCCTGCCTTTTTAAGAAATGTGTCTATAATTGAAATCTTTCAATATCATTCAGTTTTTCTTTTTATGCCTTGATAGCTGGTCCTACAGAGTCATCCATTCAGTCCTGTATCAGGTCTGATAGTCTTTCATCCAAGCATGGCAAGAGGATTCAAGTTTTGGTACAATCTAAACCAAAAAATGCTACTTTTTTTTAATTGAACACTCTCACTTTTTAAGATAAACTCTGCCCAGATTTAAAATTTTGTAGCAGATTTGTATGATTACATTCCTGTGGATGGATTTACTCTCCTAGAGCAGAGAAAAACTGAATGTGTGCTTGGTTGCTATGGGGTAGCTATACCCTATGTTTTTAATCAAAGCACATCCTTTTTCGACTTTTATGTTGGAAAAAAAAATACTAGAAAGATATTAATTGCTAGAAGCACTTAGTAGACTTTCCTTTTGCATTCATGTGAGTGACCACAGTACATGTAGAAACCAGCTTCATCCTGTGCACATTGTCTGCTTTTATATCTCTAGGAGCTATTTCTGCCTGAAGAATGTGTTCCTAGAGTACATTTTCAGAGGTTCTTATCCTACAAAGTGGGTACAGATTTCTACCCTAGCCATTTTTAGAGTAAAACACAAAACAGATTTGGCAAAACCAGTCCTGCAGAAATTCACCTATGTTTTTCAATCTCTCCATCTTCATTAAAAATGAAAATTATGAAAAGAATGAGGTGTATTGTCACTTCAAATAAAAATGACATTTTTTTTCCTACAGCCTCAATCTTAGTTTTAGTCAAAAATTCTCAAATAATCAAATATACAAATAATATTTTATGTCAGGTCAAATGAAGCATTTAAACTGATCCAAGACTTTTTTTTTACGTCTCAGTTTGTCAGAGCTTCATGGGTCAACTCAAATGACTTCATTTATTTTCTTGAAATGACAGCAAACAAACAGAAGCAAACCAGAATTTCACATAACTTTCAGCTCTAGTTGAAAATGAACTTAAAATATAGAGAGTTTGGACAAGACAGTGAATGACCTTCAGTTCCAGATAATATTCCTTCTTGGCTATCTTCCCCAAAAGATTTGATTTTGCCTTTCCAGCCTCAGTTTTACTTCTCTTGTGTTTATTATTTGATAAAGTGCCAGTAAATATACTTGTAGATCAGCAATACACCAAAGATTATTTTCTTGCTGTGTTAGTTGGATTCTTAAGCTGCTTGTGGTTTATTTTGATGTTGAACTAGATTTTATTCTACTGTCTGTCTGGGATATATCACTGCTACAGCTCAAGTGCCATAAGCTGTGTGCACAGAGGAGGCTAAAGCATAATTATCATTGTAGGTATAGGGAGTTTTATCTGATGCTCTCCTCCTGGTTAGTCTTATTATTTCCGGACACAAATCTAACCAAATTAATTACTGATGCAACAATCCAACATCAGGGCATGTAACATGCGCTTAACTTATCTGCAGGACTTTCATTTTAAGATTAAAATTCAAATATTAAAGGTCTTTCCCTTGACAGGCCCCCTGATAAGGAGAAGATGCCTTGGAACACAGTAGTGCTTGTGTGGATGCCAGAACTGAAGCCCTGGCTGGGTCTGACACAATGCAGCGGGACAGGTTTTGCTCCGCTCTGGAAGCAGAGTTCAGGCATTTCTCAGAAGCCCTCCTCTATCACTGCTTTCCTAAACAATTATTTACTTTGAGCTAACATTGAGCTAACATAATGTTGTATGTTTTGGTGAGAGTATTTAGAATGCAGTGATTAGGAGATATGTTTTCTGCTCCCTTGTAAGGCGAGACTGGGGTAAATAAATGGAATTGTCTGATTGCAGAAGAATAACCATCTCAGCTCCTCTGGCCTTTCTGAGAAGAAGGGAAAGGTTTTCTCACCTCATCTACACTTCCTTCTTTAACCTCTCTGTGTAACTATGAATAGCTGTAATATGTCAAAAGCCAGAGGTGACAGCCCAGGCAGTGGTTCAGGTATTAAACTGAAGGAACATTACATTAGCATTTTAGCCAATTAACATGGGGGGACCATCTGGAATAAATCTGCAAAGTAAACAGTTAACAGAAACCCAGCAGGCAACTCTATGGATTGCTGTATTTATATGGTACTTCATTAGAAAATAAACATATATCTTCCATCTCAAGCATGAAGCAAAAACAGTATTAAACCAGATTTGATAGTTAATACAGCTGTCTAACTAAACAACATATTTGTAAGAGTTGTGTGAAATACAGCAAGGAAAAGGTTGTGAAAACTCAGATGTTGGCACAGCCAGAACAACTGCTCCTGTGTTAATGTAGGGATATATCTTCCTCTGGTTTGCACTTGCAAAAGCCTGCTTTGATAACATTGTTAATATCACCTTCAGGATGCAGAGAAGGAACAAATCATGCATCAGCAAACTGCAATGAACCAGTCAGCTTTAGCCTGCTTCTGGAACTTCATCCTTTGCTGTGTTTATATTTTTCTCCATTAGAGACCCACAGCAGGAGATGCAAAATTCGTCATCACTAGGTTATTCCTGCCAAGGGTTTCCTGAACACACTAGGTTACAGCATAGAAATGTTGGACCAGGCTAGTATTGGCGCTTCAAGGATTAACCATGTATCTATCCTCTTCCTCCTTAAGGCCAGGTCTGTGTTCAGAGGATACCATCAGATGCACAGTCACAACTGTTAAGATGGACTGAGTTTATCTTTGAAACCATAACAGCAAAAAGCACCAGAGGTTCCCACAGCAGACATTGAGCAGCTTTAATCTGCTGATGGACACCTCTACAAGGACTGGTGTATCAGCTAGCAGAGCTCACCACACCTCTGCCCAGACTGGGAGCAAAACCAGGACTTCACAGAACTCTGCCACACGCTGGTTCCTGTGAAACCCATGGCAAAACACAAGGTTTTATCAGCCAGCTGAGAAATTAGCAGTGGTAAGTGTACCAACACAATCAACAAATATGTGGCTCATGGGAAATGTATATTTTATATCAGAACAAATGGTATTTCTGCAACCAGTGTACACAAGTATACAGGAAAATGGATTACTTGTCACAAAAGCACCTGCTATTACAAATATGGTATTTTCAAACTAATCAAATTTTCCTGTTGTCTATAAAAAAAGATCTTAGCAATTAGTGTACCAACTACAATAATATAACTAGCTGCAGAACATTCAAATGAACTTCCATTTGCCAAGTGTCGTTAAGATCTGTAAATAATGGGTCTAGGTAATAGTGTAGGATTAAATCTGATCACTTTTAGCTGGTTTGATGCCACCTGATCTTTTCTTCAGAGAAAGAAAAAGCACTAATATGGCTAGGAAGAAAAATGTAACATTTACCATGGCTCTCTCTAATTAGCCCTGCTAAGAAACCATCCAATGGAGTAGAACAGCACATATCTGCACCTAGCAAGCTCTGGACATTTAGTTCAGGTATCTTGATGCAGTGGCCCTTTGTGCTGTAGAGATATGGCATACACCATAATGATGTTTATCAGCCTGCTCACGCCATAATTAATTAGGGAGCTGTTCTGAAGACCAGAGTTTTTGGAAATATACAGTGACGACAATTAAAATGTTGGCATTTGTCAACAGTTACTTCACCTCAGGCACTACCTAATAAGTCACAGTCTGCTGCATACATGGAACTGAAATAACCATGGTAGCTCTGGGTATATAGTGACATTTTAATGATCACTACCATCTATCCTCAGGCCATCAACTTGCAGAACTAAATGGCCCATCAAGAAGCAGATGAATAAAGTGCCATCCATACAATGCATGAAAAATGTTAAGCACTTTTAGGGATTAAAGCCATTTATATCTACCTCAGAAGGGAAAAAGGAGAGATAAACATAATAGAAAAGCATGTATTATGAAGAAATAATGAAACTTCCCCGTCCTACTGCAGCAAATGCCACTAAAATGTCAGTATCTACCAATAGCTAGCAGAAATTGGTATCTAAGATACCAAAATTATCTCCTATTTTAAGTATAAGTGCCTCTTACTACACACTGACTTTATAAATGGCAGCAGCAATATCAAAGGTCTTTCATGCTCACTCACTACCTAACTGCAGTAGGAAAACTATCACTTATAAACCATAGCAATTCTCAAGGAAAGAAGGGGATGCAATACAGTAGATTATTAGCACTGTCATACAATCTGCCAAAAGATGGCAGAATCCTCTATTTAGTCATTTTTTCATCATTCTGATGAAAAGTCTGATTTTTTTGTGTGTGTGCAGGTGTGATATTATTTTTTCCATGGAGGATTTGAATATATATAAAATTATCTATAAAACTGTCTTGTACTTAGAATTTTCACTTACCAAAATGAAGAGACAACCAGAGGCAAGTTTTGTGTGTTCAGGAATAGTAGAAAACACGGACAAAATCAAGCAACCAAACACAAGGAGAAAACTGAAAAAGAAAGAATATTAATATTTGTTAATACTTTTCAGAATCCTGACCTAGTATCTATATTGATCCTACTTCACCAATTAATAGAAGACTGCCAAGGAGTGCTCTTCATTAATAGAGGTGAATTGAACTACTCAATTCATTAAAGACATTAGAATAACCTGTTACTAAATCCACATGCTTCCAAGCAGCACTGCTAGAATTAATGAAACAAGCACGCTATTTTCTTGGAGAAATGACCCAATATACACAGATGTTACTTTTGGTATTACAATCCTGTACCTTTATGCAGTCCAGATACCCTTAGTGTCTCTAAAGAAAGATCTTCAATGGGAGAGTCCTCTTCCTGGTCTGAAAAATAATTTCTCCTACAACCGACCAGAAATATCTGCTGCATAAGCTTACCAAAGAGTTAAGTTACATATTGCAGCTATCTGTCCATATGAAATTACTTTCTTTCTGAGCAACAGATTTCATGTACAAACTACCAGAAGCTGAGAGGTAGCGCTAAGGCATCGTTGCCCTAAATGAACAGGTTCCATTCTGGGAACAAATTTAATGCCGTAGAATCTGTTGAAGGAGTTAAAACAATTAAGAAAGTTTTAGACAAGCCATGCAATTACAATCAGGAAAACAAGACAACAATTTTGAGTTTGCATGAGCCTGTATGTTTCATGATACTAATGAATACATGCAGGCAAGAAAACCCACCAACATGGTGCTAAATCTTTTTGTGATGATGAAGCAAAAAAAATTGGTATCATGCAGAAATTCTTGCATATCTCATGTCCAATCATAACAGCATGCAGTACATGTGGTGTTTTCAGACATGAGCCTGCAGAACTGGTGTTGCTCTGAGAACTATACTGTTGATGGTAAGGATTATCCTTTCCTCTTGTACTCTTTCACCACCAACAATACCACTGTGCTAGTGAAACCATCTATGAACTCGACGAGAAAAGAGGTTCATTTCACCCACAGTATCATGAACTGACTAACCAGCAGCCAGTAATAATTGATTCTACCAAAGTTTTGCTAACTTCCTTCTTAAAACACTTAGTCATGCAGGCCTTTGACTTTTGTTTGAATTTCTGGGACTCATTACCAGATGCTCTAATCCAGCATGAATAGGTATTGTAACTAATGCAGATACATATCCCTCCCTGCCCTTATCCCAACTCACAAACCTTTTGTTATACTTTCTCTCCCATGTCCAGCTTAGGACGGAGAATGATAAAGCTACTTTGGTGGGCACCAAGTCTCCTGCCAGGGTTAACAAATCGGACTGTGAAATCTCTGTCCCCCCTAAGATTGCAGAACTCGGCTGAAAAAGGCATGGTCTGACTTTGAGGTGAGCCCTGATTTGAGGAGGAAGTTGGACTGGATGACTCAAAGAGGCATTTTTCAGTCTAAATACTTCTATTTTTCTAACTACTGGATACAAACATTAATATATTATGGCATCTGCGCCCACTTGTGCCTCAGGAGCTGCAATTACTTTTACCCATATAACATATGGACTCCTCCATAGTGTTATAAAATAGTAGTGCTGTAATATATCCAAAACATTAGATAAAAATATAAGTTCAGTCTTCAGAATTTCTAGTAGAAAATCTCTATGTGCAATGCAATGAGATATTGGAGACACATTTTTGTAGCGTATTACTTAACTGCTGGGGAGAAGTTCTATTCTGAAAATCAAATATGGTAGGAGCTTGCATATAAGTTCTATTAAGGACTGTAAATAAACCAGTATCCAGAAGGGTAAAGTACATATCTGGCACACCCCCTTATCCAGTCTTGTCTTCTAGATTAAAGAAAGGTGAAGATCAGCACATGCTTCAAGGTTTCATAAAAGACTCATTCAAGACTCATGCAATCCCAAGCACAGGCTGGGCAGAGAATGGATCAAGAACAATCCTAGGGAGAAAGACTTGGAGTGTTTGTGGTCAAAAAGCTCAATATAACTTGGCAATGCATGCTCAGGGCCCAGAAAGTCATCCACATCCTGGGTTGCATCAAAAGAAGTGTGGCCAGAGGTCAAGGGAAGGTGATTCTGCCTCTCTGCTCTGCTCTTGTGAGACCCCACTTGGAGAGCTGCATACAGCTCTGAGGCCTCAGTATAAGGAAGATGATGACCTGTTGGAATGTCTCCTTTCCCAGAGGAGAGCCACTGAGTTGATCACAGGGCTGGACCACCTCTCCTATGAACACAGGCTGAGAGAGTTGGGGTTGTTCAGCCCTCCCCTCAGAAAAGAAGGCTCTGGCAAGACATTGTAACAGCCTTCCAGTACGTAAGGGGGACTACAAGAGAGCTGGAAAGGGACTTTTTACAATGGCATATAGTAATAGGACAACGGGGAAAGCTTTGAGCTGAAGGAGGGAAGATATTGGTTAGCTATTAGGAAGAAATTCTTTACTATGAGGGTGGTGAGGCACTGGAACAGATTGCCCAGAGAGGAGGTAGACTGCACTTCTCTGAAGGTGTTCAAGGCCAGGTTGAATGGGGTTCTGAATAACCTAATCTAATGGAAGGTTCTCTGCCCATAGCAGGGAGGTTGGTAGTAGATGATCTTTAAAGTCCCTTCCAACCCAAACCATTCTATGATTCTATTATTCTATGATTCTGTGATTCTATGATTCTATTATTCTATGATTCTGTGATTCTATGATTCTATTATTCTATGATTCTGTGATTCTATGAAAAGTGACAAAAATCCATCTTGTGAGCATTTTTGCTCCCCTTGCCCTCACTTAATAAAAAAGGAAAATCTCACAGAACATTAGTAGTAGTTTCAGCTGCTACAGTTTTCAGATGCAACTCCCCTATAACTACATACCACTGACATAGACATAAATGTGGTTTCTCCTCATTAAGACTTGCACAGAAGGCAAAAAATAATTAAGAAGTGACTAAGAATTTATGGTAAAAGAATGTAATTTCCTTTTGCTGACTTTCTTTAGACCCAAATCAATTAAAATTATGTTTTCTTTGTGTTTAGGTATGAAAACTCGCTCTTATCTGGTTCTATTCCTGTAATACCAACAAAATTGGAAGCCCAGTTGTACTGGGTCTTGTCCAAACACACAATACAAGTTTTGACTTGGAAGAGATCTCTTACAGCATAATTATTGAAAACAGACACAGCAGGAAGAAAGACAGTTTCTTGTTCCCATATCACAGCTGGAGAGCACAGTAAAGGTAAGGGACTTGCCAAAGGCTACACAGAAAGTCTTTATATGTGGAATAAACCTAAATCTTTTAAGTCGCAGCCCAGTCTTGCAGTCACAAAACCATATTTCACTCACCCACCACTTGCTCTGCCACGATCCATCAGAACTGTGATTTAGAACATCACTGTGGGCAGTGTTAATTCTCAATAGGAATGAGAAGAGTTAACCAGTGTATTAATCAAAATAAAGACAAATATTCAGGAAAGCCAGGTGCAGTGTAGATCAGCACCTGGCAGACATAGTTCTGAGGTTACTCATGCAAAGCAGAAACAACCATCACAATACACAAGAATAGTGTTGGAAAGAAATTTTTCCAAAGTTCTATAACTTTTGTTAGAGTTTCCCCAGAAACTCTAAAGAATGGAGCATTGTTATTCATTATTATTATTATTATTTTTAAAGGACAAAGGAAAAATATTTGCATTTATCCATCCACATATTCAAACCTTGCCCCTCTATCCCTCATTCCTCCCTCCAATACTGAACACTTTTTTACTGCCACTCAGCACATTATGTCTAAAATTAGAAGGGGAGAAACCCAGGGAAGGGAAGGGAAGGGGAGAAACCCAGTCCTATTAGCCTGACAAAACTAAAAGCATACTTTTAGGTGCTGTAAAACACAGCAGTTGCAACAAACCCACAATATTTTCATTAGTTTATACATATTATAAGTGCTTTCCTTCAAAGTACACTAATAGTCAGGATTCGCTATCCATCTTTTTTAATGCAATCTATTTATTCAGGCCATGCAATGAAAGCACCTCTCCCTTTCCCCAGCTACAACTGAAGGCATGAAGGATGCAGCAACATCTTTCGCCTAGCTGGATGTTAAACTAGGATCTGTCCAGCAAAAATAAATTCCTAAGGTTCAAACATCTCAGTGGCCAAAGTCTCTCAAAAGCTGTTCTTTCCTATTGTGAACTATTTCTCCAGTGACAGATGAAGTGCAGTGGCTTGCATTAAGCCCTGGATAGTGATTCTATAACCCTCAATAAAAGAAAAAGCATTTTCATCATTTGAGCTGTGTGCTATGACACATGCTGTACAAGAGGATGCTGCTGTAGGTAGAGTGTAGCACAAAGCAAAACACAGAGCAATTATATTTGGCCTCTAGTGGATCAATCTGGATCATATAATTGTTCAGGCTGAAAAAAACAGATGGTCTTTCCTCATGCATTCAGTATCAGACAGTAAAACATATGCCTTAGGCAGCAACTTCCCACAAAATTATTCAAGTACTGCCATAGCCTTGTATTTTATCAAAAGCAGCAACTTCCATTTTGTTTCAGCAGTAATCAGTTTTGTTGTAGATCCTTTCATCTTGTTCCACTGCTCCTGAAAGACTACACTAATTGGAGAAAAGCCAGTTTATGAAAGATAATATAACTCAGAAGCTTTGATATTTAATCAATCTGCTCCTCATAAACTTTTCTTATTGGTTAATTAAGGCCTACCAATTCTCCATTTATTTAATTTTCAGCAGAATTTTACTATATTTTGTGATTTGAGGGCTGTTCACATGGAGGAGTATGTCCAGCTTAAAGCAATTGTTAAAACATTACTCAGGGAATATCATAAGGACAAAAAATACACCCGTGGAAGATGTTTAAGAGCTATTTTGCCATATTATTTAGTGCTAGAATTAAAATAATCAAAAGTTAACATCTGCAAACAGTTTTGTGGCCTCTTCTGTAAATGGTAAAAATGTATCACTGTTGAAGTGGCATAATTAAGTGATTAGACCACCAGAGTTATGTTCCAGTATT